TAATTAAAATAACTATATATTGATGTATGTATATATTGTCTGATGGAATGATTTATATCGATGTGATGTATTTGTGACCATTGCGCAAAGATATTTCACAAAGGTTTATTATTTACGAGATACCCTAGGTAACGTTTAGAAAACAGAATATAGAATTTTGGAAGACAAATAGCTAGATAGGTCAAGGAAAAGTGATGGAACGTGAAGATTTTTGCCTATACAAATTAAATCAAAGCACGATATTCTGAGGGTTGTTTCTCTCCGAAAAAATAATGGATTTTTTCGGCAAAATTTTGGCTAAAATTTTGAGTCCAATTTTGGGTCCAATTTTGGGTCCAATTTTGGGTCCAATTTTGAGTCCAATTTTGGGCCAATTTTGGGTCCAGTCCATGGGTCCAGTCCATGTTTTTGTACTATGCCCGTGTAGGTCATACACGTTTGTTATCATCTTGTAACAAGGTTGATGAGGCCAACAGACTCGCAACAAGTTGTTCCAACAACTCTGATATCGTCTGCACGTAACAAGTTGCTGACAAGTTGATGACAACAAGCTTGTAGCAACTTGTTACGAACAGCCTGTGTTAGTCTTGTTGGAACAACTTGTAGCAACTCTGTTACCGTCAATAACAACTTGCTGCAGACTTGTCACAACAACTGGGACCAAGCAGTATACGAGCACATCCTGATATCGACTTGACAATAACCTTGTTACAACTTGTTTGCAGACTATAATAATAATAAAATTATTGAATATCAGTTAACCCTCTAGCAACGTGCGCGATTTTTACGTGTACGATGACGAATATCCGCCATTTTTGGGTAGCATATATCTAATTCTCGTTAACCAATGCAGACAATTAAAACAATGTGAAAAGCAATTTTTCAAAATAAACTAATCATTTGCAAAGCAAATGTACCTCGTCAAAAAAATTATAAAAAGTCGCTGTTATGTGGACTTATCTCACAGACTTCGGCTGAAATGCCACCCAAAAATGGCGGCGTGAGAAAGGCTAAATGACACACAATGCAATAATAACTATATCCAGGGACGCCGGAACGATCATAAGGCAAAGGGGGGCGGACCCACAGCAAGGGCACTTCTCTAAAGCAAAACTTCAAAATCTTCCGAAATTTTTTTTTTTTCCAAAAAATTTCGGCGACCTCCCCCCCCCCACCCCCCCTCCCCGTCGCCAAAAAAATTTCGGTCAGTGTATCATTTTAGGGGTCAAAAATTTTTTTCGGACATACCATAAGTGAAATATAAAATGTAAGTGTCTGAATCTCATAATTTTCCGACAAAAACCATCGTTCTAAATGTGATTTATCACGTAATTTTTTAAAACTAAAAGGGCACTTCTGCCCCCCCTGCCCCCCCTAGCAATGCCCCCCTAGCAAAGGGCAAGGGGGGCAGCCGCCCCCCCCCCTGCCCCCCCAGTTCCGGCGTCCCTGACTATATCTACAATAACCCTACGACTTCGACAGCATTATTTTCTATCAGCTCTTGGCTAACCCATATTTCTCGAGCACACACAAACGAACTAATTCTTTAAAAGTCTTCCTAACTACATTATAAAGTACAACATGTTTTGAACCGGGTACAATGTCAGATTCAACTTCACATAACAGCTGTTCGCTTTTAACAAGAATGTCTTGCTCTTCAAACCCGTGGTCTTCCACAATTTCACGTCCAGTTTTAGCTTTTTTGTGTACGTCTTGTAGCATGTTATAATACTGTGATAATTCTACAAAATTAATCGACATGCATGAGTTTAGGATTAGGGTAAAAATATTGTGTTGTGGCGTTTCAAATATTGTAAAAATAGGTACGCTACATCGTACATAGGTAGCAAGCATACTTTAATTAACCAGAAAAGTATAATCTGCCAAAGAGTCTAAGAGTTAAGAGTTTTTAATACTCGTGTCATCTTCGACTCGTGTTTGTGTACACACGTAAAAACGCACAAGTTGTAACAAACCTGCAGCAGACTTGTATAGCAATGCTGTTCCAGTATATTAACTTGTCAACAGGATGAGTTCGCACTGCTTGTTCCCAGCTTGTTGACAACTTACTACAAGGTTGAGCTCAACAGAGTCGTTACAAGTTGTTCCAACAGCTTGTTATCGCTCTGCAATTCGTCAATTTGTCAACAAGTTGTGAGTGACAACCTTGTAGCAACTTGAGAAAATAACAGCATTGTTACAACCTGTTGACAAGTTTGCTACAAGCCTGTTGTCACCACATCTTGTTGACAAGTTGTGAGATTTTTACGTGTCTATCTTATACAACACAGCCGCTTATCCGGTATGTATATTTATTTATAATATAGCATTTGTAAATTCTGAACGCTGATTGGCTAAGAGCCATGTTAATATAACTCAATGTCAACACGGAAACGTCGGAAAATTTTTTTTTATGTTTCTTTGTGCTATATTATAAAACAAATATAAAACTTTTTTCCGTATTGATATTTAACAAATATAAAAATTTTCCGTGTTGATATACAGTTATATCAACACGAGTGGAAATTGGGAAAACGAGAAATTGTGTGGAAACACGACGCCCGAAGGGTGGAGTGTTTTCACACAATTTCGAGTTTTCCCAATTTCCACGAGTGTTGATGTAACTATTTTTCAATACGGAAAAAATGTTTTATATTTGTTTTATAATATAGCACAAAGAAATATAAAGAAAGAAATTTCCCGACGTTTCCGTGTTGACATTGAGTTGTATCAACACGGCTCTTAGCCAATCAGCGTTCAGAATTTACAAATGCTATATTATAAATTTATATCAATAACGATTTTGAAAATCACTATGACGTCATTCAAAAATCACTTTCAAAACTACATATTCCAACATATACCTAGTTCATCGTCGCAGCTTCCGACAGCACGTGATGCAGTCAACTGACCAATTAGCAGCAGCAATGATGACGTATCCATAGATAAAGGCGGGAAAGCACGACAGAAGCGCAACAGACATTCACAAGCTGGGATGAAGAAGCTCGCACATCGGTCTCCAGGCAACGCCTCGCATAATGACGTCATACGACTGATGACGTACTTCGCTACATCCAAAGCTTTTGGTAGTGGGAATTGAACACACAGATATGAAGACAACTGAACGGCAAACAGCTAAACAAACAGAAGATTTCTCAGACTTGGGTACCAGTGTAGATAGTATTCTACAATAAGCTGTCGTGGTGTGTGTCTGAACTACACGAAAAAAATATCTCAAACGTGGTACAATAAACTGCCGTGGTTTGTGTCTGAACTACCTGGAAAAGATATCTCAAACGTGGTGGTCCAGGGTAGGTAGCATTCTACAATAAGCTAGCTGTCGTGGTTTTTCTCTGAACTACCTGAAAAAGATATCTCAAACGTGGTGGTCCAGTGTAGGTGGTATTCTACAACAAACTGCCGTGTTATGTGTCTGAAATATCTTAAAACGATATCTCAAACGTAGTGGTCGATTAGAAAAACTTCCTTTCAGGTAGTTCAAACATAAACCTCGACAACCATTCGTTCATACCTGTTTCTCTAGTTCTGGCTGATTCAACAATTCTGTGATAAAATTTAGACAGATGTGCATGGATGGAATACCGTTTACGGTAATTGGCAGTAATACCGGATCATATCCCTAAATATATATTAAATTATATATTTAGAACTGATAGAGTTATCCAGTATAGGTAAAGTTAGTTTAGGTTTCCTCCTGTAGTAACACTCGATCAATAAGGAAATTCTTACTAGACCTCTAAGGAGAACAGTTTAGAACTGATAAAGCTATCCAGTATAAGTAAAGTTATAGTTTAGTTTAGGTTTCCTCCTGTTGTAACACTGGATCAATAAGAGATGATCCTTACTGGACCTCTAGGGAGAACAGTTTAGAACTGATAGAGCTACCCAGTATAAATAAAGTTAGTTTAGTTTAGCTTTCTTCCTGTAGTAACACTGGATCAATAAGAGATGATCCTTACTGGACCTCTAGGGAGAACAGTTTAGAACTGATAGAGCTATCCAGTATAAATAAAGTTAGTTTAGTTTAGCTTTCTTCCTGTAGTAACACTGGATCAATAAGATGATCCTTACTGGACCTCTATAGGAAGAACAGTTTAGAACTGATAGAGCTATCCAGTATAAATAAAGTTAGTTTAGTTTAGGTTTCTTCCTGTAGTAACACTGGATCAATAAGAGATGATCCTTACTGGATCTCTAGGGAGAACAGTTTAGAACTGATAGAGCTACCCAGTAGAAATAAAGTTAGTTTAGTTTAGGTTTCTTCCTGTAGTAACACTGGATCAATAAGAGATGATCCTTACTGGATCTCTAGGGAGAACAGTTTAGAACTGATAGAGCTACCCAGTAGAAATAAAGTTAGTTTAGTTTAGGTTTCTTCCTGTATTATATAAACACTGGATCAACAATGAAATCCTTACTGGATCTCTAGGGAGAAGAGTTTAGAAGTGAAAGAGCTATCCAGGTTAATATTAACAGGTTATTAACACGTCAGTGACAGATCATTAACATAATTAAACTATACCTGAAAATGAACAAGTTTTGCCAGTTTAGGGTCAGTTATAAACATTTGATGTAAAGTGGAACAGACCAGACATTGAATTTCTCGTAGTTCGCATTTCGCCATGCTTCCTCCTTGCTTCTGAAATAAACAACAAGCAAAATAACGTCGGTCAAACAATGTTGGATGAAAATTTTAAACAAAGTCAAACCTAATCCAACATCAATGATGGATTTATAGGGAGGGAAGTGGCCTTGGTCAACATGGGTGCAAGGGGAGGGGAGTTGCAAAAAATTTTTAAAAAATCTTACTTTTAAATGTTTGAGGTATTCAAAGTTTGTTAGGTTGAAGAGAAAAAGATTGGGTAAACAAATTTTTGAGTGAGTAAAAGGTTGGGTAAATGAAAAACAAAACAACTCAAGGGTTGGGCAATAAAAATTTATTGTCATTTCCAAAGCATGACTCGCTCAAATATCGAAGGCTAAGAAGCAATAAAGTCATATGTCAATAGAATATGTAAATCAATCAGAGTCACTATCTTGATCATTTTTCAATTTGTCAGGAGGCAAATGGTGTCTCTGAAGAAAAAACATGTGCAGACAACATGAAACTTTAGACTGCAGAAAACTGCACAAGCAATTATCCAACTCATATCAGGGCAAGTGTGACAATTAATATTTGAGGTTGATTGATATTTGAGGTTGAGTAAAATTGTTTTTCACTTTTTAATGGTTGGATGAGCAACATTTTTACCTCATTGCCACCCCTCGCCATAAATAATGACCGGTCCCTAACGCTTAATGAAAGCCACTAACTCAGAAATTTTATATTCAATGTTTAATCATATTTTCCCTGACCTGTTTCTCCTCAGGTGTCTGGAGACAAACTTCCAGTAATATTTGTACAACAGCACTGTCTTGAGCTGCCAATAATGCTGACTTCAACTCCTCTCGTTCCTGTTCAGTATTAGTACATGAAGTACTAGACGTGTTTCTAACAGGGTTACTGTTCGCCAAGATATGTTGATTTAGCATCGCCCGCGAGGCCGCTAAATAACCCATGAGTACTCGGGTAATAACTGTGAATATAGGAGCACATCTAAAGAACATGCAGAGTGAATATTTAACAATTTTCAACAGTTGCACTTAGCAAGATGTTACACTAACGTCCTACGAGTAAAAGTAACGGAAATCTAAACTAACTTTATTTATACTGGATAGCTCTATCAGTTCTAAACTGTTCTCCCCAGAGGTCTTGTAAAAGCCATCCCTTGTTTATCCAGTGTTACTATACGATAAAACCAGGAGGAGTCTTTCAAGCATGGTTTTCCTATGCGGCTGAGCCAAAAAAATTTAATCAAACAACAGAGTAAAAAGACAATGGCAATGTATGGACATTCTGATCTCTGGGTCGTGACTGGATGGTACTCTTTGATATGCTGATTAATCTTGCCTCAATATCTTGCGATCGCATCTCAGAACTGTGAGAGGATCTTTAATCAGTTCATCGTCAGTGTAAGGAGAAGATCCTGTTGTCCGCTCACATAGTGTGTTCACCGTCAATAACCATAATCTAAAATGATGGAAAATGTCCAACAAATATACTGTATAACATTTTTTCTCACGCTGAAAACTGCCAATCGACCAACATCGGC